TTGGCAAGGCTATCCCTCTGGTTGACTAATGAAGGTTTTCAAATTATTAGGAGTATTCTACCCCCTCACCCGCAGGATAGCAGTGATAATTTCAAATGGAATCTGCCTGGTCATGAAGGAATCACAGTTAAAGGTATTTGTAATTGCTTATCTGGTTTTGCTACAACAGAGAGTAATGAGTCTATACTATGGAAAACCTTATGGGGCTGGAAAGGACCTCTCAGAATCCAAGTGTTATTGTGGAAGATTGCTCATAAAAGATTACTAACAATGAAAAGACTTGTTGACATGAATATGGGCAACCCAATTTGTGTGTTGTGTAATAAGGAAGAAGAGAGTTTGATGCAAGTATTTAGAGATTGTGGTAGTATTCAGTTTCTTTGGCAGAGATTACAGGCTAACAAAGTTTGCCTTTCTTTCTTTTCTCTGAGGATGATTGAGTCTTATCTAATCTTCAGGTCAATAGTGTGGATGGGAGGGGTGTGCCTTGGAATATCTTGTTTGTTGTCACTATTTGGCTTATGTGGAAATGGCGCAATGAATTAATGCATAATAGTATAAGCCCTTACAATGCTTATGACTATAATTTGGTTTTAAGTCAATCCAAAGAAATTTGGGATTCTACAGCAAAGCTTAATTATGGGGATGCTGCTGCGGTTTCGAAGGAAATCTTGGTTCCTTGAAAATTTCCGGATAAGGGGTGGGTTAAAGTGAATACTGATGGTGCGGCCAAAGGTAATCCGGGTTTGACTGCGTGTGGAGGTGTGATAAGGGATTGAGTAGGAAATTGGCTCAATGGTTTCTGCTATAGAGTTGGTCATTGTAGTGCCATAGTAGCAGAACTATGGGGTATTTTGAAGGGCATTCAGATGGCTTGGGAGGGTGGTTGGAGAAAAGTTATTATTGAAAGTGACTCTAAAACAGCAGTCATATGGCTCAACTCAAGGAGTGGGGTAGCCTGTGAGTCTCATCTTGTTGCTCGCATACAACCATGGTTGGATAAAGACTGGATTGTTAAGGTTCAACACTTGTATAGAGAAGGAAATTGCTGCGCAGATTGGCTTTCAAATCTTCCGTTGGTTGATTCGGATCAAGCTGATTTTTGTTCTTTTGGGGCCCCTCCCCCGGGTATTAGTCTATTATATTTAGTTGATTTAAGTGATTTTAGTAGAACTCGTTGTATCTCTTCCTTTTAGCCTGTGTTGGGTTTTTTAACCCCAACCAGGATACCAAAAAAAAAATGGATTTTTTGAATATTTGAATACTTTCATATACAAAAGCTAGTTAGTGTTAAAAAAAAAAAATCGTAACAAGTAATTGAATACCATGCATGCATTCACTATAGATAACAAAGATTTTATTATTTATTTTAAATATTTTTTTTTATCTATTTTGAATTTTGATTAATTATTCTCAATGAACGCTGTCTTCGTGGAAGAATTGTTGTGCGTGTCATTGACTTCTTTTTTTTATTTTGGTAAACTCTGTCATTAACATTACCCTTTACAATTTTCCACAGTGCATCACTGTATGAGTGGGTCCACGTGTCGTGGCTGAGCCAATTTTCTCCCATCATGGCCTACATAAACCAGTGCTCCCTTCTCCGTTCCTGCACACCAAAGAGTCTCTTTATCTTTTCATCTCTGATTACATCCAATATGTCTCTCATAAAAACCTTGTCTATCTTCTTCTTAATCGCTCTCTGCTTCATCCCTGCACACGCAGCAAAGTTTGACATCACAAACCGATGCCGTTACACTGTTTGGGCTGCGGCTGTGCCTGGCGGTGGAAGGCAACTTAATTCTGGCGAGTCGTGGACCATCGATGTGCCTGCAGGTACTCCGAAGTCTCGCATTTGGGCACGAACCGGCTGCAGCTTCGACGGTTCAGGCCGCGGTCGATGCCAGACCGGTGACTGTGAAGGTCTCTTGAAGTGCCAAAAGTACGGTTCACATCCCAACACACTCGCGGAATTCGCGCTTAACCAGAAGAGCCCGCCATACTACACCAATTTGGACTTCGTTGATATCTCCCTGGTTGAAGGATTCAATGTTCCCATGGATTTTAGTCCAACAACATCTAAGGGCTGCAAACGTGGAAGTATAACGTGCACTGCTGACATTAACGGACAGTGTCCCAAGGAGCTGAGGACTCAAGGGGGTTGTAATAACCCATGTACTGTGTACAAAACTGACCAGTATTGTTGCAATTCGGGTAAGTGTGGACCCACTCCTTTGTCCAAATTCTTTAAGGATAGGTGTCCCAATGCTTATAGTTACCCCCAGGATGATCCAACAAGCTTATTCACATGCCCTGGTGGAACCAACTATAGGGTTGTCTTTTGCCCTTGAACCCAACCACCTTCTCAAGAATCTCAACCCTTTACTATCTATGTTTATCTGATCTTATACATACACGTCCAATAGGACTAGTACTGGTCACTTATAGTTTCACTATGGTCTACCATATGCACTAAATAAAGAAAATAATAAGGTGTGTGCACTTTTATGTGCCCATCTAGGGAATGTGCACTGCTATTCTAAATGATGAAAGCAATAAATCGTTCACGTATGATCATAACTAGTTATTCGCGCCGTAGCTTTCTCTTTTCTATCTGTATTTTCAATGCTCCTATGGTAAAATTAATATCAGCAAGACTTGAGGATATGACTGTACGTTATGACAACTTTCATTTACTGATAGATGGAAGAAATTCTTTTTAAAGCGAATTTGTTTGCTAACTTCAGCTTTCAGTTGATTGGATGTTTGAACTTTGCAGTCTACAATGATTGATGATAAACAAAAAAAACTGAAGCCCCCAAAAGTCTAGTCAACCATTATTGATGAGAGAAAAACTGAAGCTCGTATAGGATCCTTTTGTTAAAAAAAAAAAAATGACATAATTATGTGAAAAATTATAATCATATAAAGATGAATTAATGATAATAAAAAAAAGAAAGAAATAATTATAAAATTATAACTGTTGATTTATCTTTATATGGTTGTGATCTTTTTTTTACATGATCATGTCATATTTTTTTTTGAAATGAGATGATTCATTTCGAAAACTGAAGCCCCCAAAGTCTATTCTACCAAAAAGTCTATTAATGAATGCACGAACTTAACATTAATTTCATGAATTGATGCTCGTTTGTACTTGGGTTACTAACTTAAAGATGCTGCTGTATTTGGCAGCTTGAAACTGTGAAAGACATTAGTAGTCTTTAACTTATTTTGTATAAAGAAAGAAAAAAGTTTCAAAGAAGATATCGAAGAAGTCCAGGTTGTTGTATTGGTTAAGAGCAAATTCAGCAAGTGTGTTTGGCGGTGTACCATATGCTGTGCACTGAAGAACACCACCACAGTCACCTGTTTTTGCAGTGTCCATGTCCTGACCCGTCGAAGTTGCAGTTGGTTCGAGCCCATATGCGTGCTCCGGTCGTGCCGGCTGCCACGTCAATCCCCGAGCATTTGTTTGTTATGTCAAACCTCGCTGCCTCCGCGGAGGGGAGGTACGTGAGTGACGGTGATCACAAGGAAGATACAGAGGCTTTTCAATTTCACGATGGCCATTTTCAATTGAGTGCGCTGAAGAAAATTGCATGTGAGTTTGGGTTTATATATAGTTATACGCGGCTTCAACATGGGTCCATTGGAAATGTTCAAATTCAAATGTCTTGGTTTTGGAAAATTCATGTTCTTGCTGATATGTATGGATTTGAGGACAAGACATAAAGTTATATCCCCTAAAAAAAGGACAAACATTTTTTCATGTGAAAAAACATAAACATAAAAGCATGGATAGTATAAAGGAAAAGTATTTATCCTTTTAAATGATGTAATTTGTGTCATTTCACTCTCACACAAAAGTGGGATCCACATTTATATTTTCTTTATTCACTTTCTTCCCTTCATGATTTATCTCTTTCTCTCATTTAAAATAATACAAATTTTTTTTTTTGATAACAAAATAATACAATTTTACCTCCTTCAAAATAACACACATTTTTCTTATACTACAAATATGTTACATTTTTTTTATATTTGATAAAAAATGTATTAAGTGCTCAATATATCTGATGTAAGAAAATATTTTCCACCTAATCGTTATTATTTTATTGGATATTTGAAGGTGATGTTGGTAAATGTATCAACCTTAACCGTTGAAAAAGAAGAAGTGAAGAAAAATCAACCTAGACTATCGCGTCGTTAACAATTCACTACATGCCGAAATACACAAACGTCTATAGAATTAGAACCGATCGACAGCCAGAGCAAACAAGATTCAACACGTATGAAGTAATAGTCAAAAATAATATATATATATATATATATATACACACGCACACGCTAATTCTTCCATAAGATAAAGGTAACAAATGATTTTTTCTCAAAGTGAAATCTAACACTGTTTGGCACGCGAGTCACTTGTGAATGTTAATATCAATATACAGGACCAGTCTCTTTCATTAATTGTTTCAAAACCTGCAAAGAAAAGTCTTTGATCTGATAAGGGCCATTTTTAGTTGGGAAAAGTTAGTCTTACATACTTTTAAAAAGAATTTTTTGATTATTTGAAGAATACTATCATATACACAAAAGCAAGTGTTCGAATTTTCGTAAAAAGTAATCGTATATCATATTAAATGAGCATGTAATACTCATATAATTTGTAAACAAAAATTTTATAAATATAATTTATTTTATTATTTTTATCTTTTTTAAATTTTTATTAATTATTCTCAATGAACATGGTAGAATTTGGTAGAGAATAATTAAATATTTTGAATTTTAATTAATTATTCTCAATGAACACCGTCTTCGCGGAAGAATTGTTATGTGTCATTGACTTCTGTATTTTTCTTTTGGTAAACTCTGTCATTAACATTACCCTTTACAATTTTCCACAGTATATCACTGTATGAGTTGGTCCCCGCGTCGTGGCTGAGCCAATTTTCTCGCATCATGACGCCCTACATAAACCGGTGCTCAATTCTCCGTTTCTGCACACCAAAGAGTCTCTTTAATTATCTTTTCATCTCTAAAATGTCTCTCATAAAAACTATGTCTTTCTTCTTCTTCTCCTTTGTAATCGCTCTCTGCTTCATCCCTGCACACGCAGCAAGGTTTGACATCACAAACCAATGCCGTGACACTGTTTGGGCCGCGGCTGTGCCCGGCGGTGGAAAGCAACTTAATTCTGGCGAGTCGTGGACCATCGATGTGCCTGCAGGTACTGCGAAGTCTCGCATTTGGGCCCGAACCGGCTGCAGCTTCGACGGTTCAGGTCATGGTGGATGCCAGACCGGTGACTGTGAAGGTCTCTTGGAGTGCCAAAAGTACGGTTCACCTCCCAACACACTCGCGGAATTCGCGCTCAACCAGAACAGCCCGGGGTACTACACCAATTTGGACTTCGTTGATATCTCCCTGGTTGACGGATTCAATGTTCCCATGGATTTTAGTCCAACAATATCTAATGGGTGCCAACGTGGAAGTATAACGTGCACTGCTGACATTAACGGACAGTGTCCCAATGAGCTCAGGACTCAAGGGGGTTGTAACAACCCATGTACTGTGTACAAAACCGACCAGTATTGTTGCAATTCGGGTCCGTGTGGATCCACTCCTTTGTCCAAATTCTTTAAGGATAGGTGTCCCGATGCTTATAGTTATCCCCAGGATGATCCAACAAGCTTATTCACATGCCCCGGTGGAACCAACTATAGGGTTGTCTTTTGCCCTTGAACTCAACCACCTTCCCAACCCTTTACTATCATCTATGTTTAACTGAATCTGATCTTATACATACACATCCAATAGGACTAGTACTGGTCACTTATATAGTTTCACTATGGTCTACCATATGCACTAAATAAAGAAAATAATAAGGTTTGTGCGCACTTTTATGTGCCCATCTAGGGAATGTGCACTGCTATTCTAAATGATGAAAGCAATAAATCGTTCTCGTACGATCATAACTAGTTATTCGCGCCATAGCTTTTTCTTTTGTATCTGTATTTTCAATGCTCCTAAGTAGGGGTGTTAACGGACCGAGCCGAGCCGAGCTTTGGTCTTAACGGGTCAAGTCTGTATTTAAACGTGTTAGACTGGCATTAGCCTGTTACCTGTTACGGATGTAATATTGGCCTGTAGCCTGATTTATTTACAAAAAATAAAAGCATGTGTTAAGCCTATCTTAGCCTGTTAAAAAATAAAAATAAAAGATGGTGGTGGGGGTGCTGTGTGGCTGTTTTGGTTGGCGGTGGGTGTAGGTTGGGGTTTTGATGGAGATGGCTTCACCGGTGCTGTGTGCTGTATTGGTTGGCGGGTGGGTAGGGGTGTTAACGGGCCGATAAATATCATAAATTCAATATATATCATAAATATCATAAATTCAATATATATCCAAACAACATAATATAGAATAAAATCATTCAAAAAGTCTATTTAACCAATAAAATGAGGTGAAATTAATTGAGGAGAAAGAGAGGCTATTCGAAGTAGTATAAAAAATATAAAATAAAAATATAAAATAATATGATAGGCCAACCTGAGAGGCTCTAAGGCCGAGTTTTTAAATTGGAGCCTGAGGCTTTTTTATTAAACGAGCTTTTATACAAGTTCAAGCCTCGTGCCAACAACCAATTTTAGACATGTAAGCTCAGGCCTTCACGAGCCGAGCCAAAGGCCCCTGGCTCGTTTAACACCCCTACTCCTAAGGGATATATACTGTGCACGTTTAATTTTAATCTTTTTAATAATAAAGAAGAAAGTTTGAACTTTTCTTAGTGAAATTATTTGCGGAAGAAATATGTATCATTTTAAAGGAAGTAAATTTGTGTCATTTTAATATCAGCAAAACTTGAGGATATTACTGTTTATGGTTGTCAACTTTGATTTAGCGACAGATGGAAGAAATTCATTTTGGAGTAAATACTTTTTTTGGTCTTCAGCAAATTTTACGATACCCGCTTTAGTCCCTAGCAAATAAAAAAGCTATTTGTGGTTCTTAAAAAATTTAAAATGGACCCATTTAGTTGAAATCGTGGTCCTTCATAAATTCAAAAAAGACACACATTACTCGCTCAAAAGGACTAATTAATTTACATTTGCATCATAAAATTTCTTAAGGACCCACAATATGATGCCCTTTACAAAAAAGACCACGAATACATTTACATTATGATACTTTTAAAATTCAAAAAAAATCCACATTAGTTCTTCACAAATTCAAAGTGGTCTTTAATCCCTATTTAGCATGCATACACTTTAAATTTCTTAAGGACCACGAATAATCTTTTTATTTGTTAGGAATTAAAATAGACATTATAAAATTTACTGAGGACCAAAAAAGATATTCGCATTTTAAAACGAATTTGTTTGCTCCCTTCATCTTTCAGTTTATTGGATGTTTGAAGCCGACAATAATTGATGATTAAAAAATAAATAAAACTGAAGCCCCAAACGTCTAGTCAACCATTATTGATGGAGAAAAACTAAAGCCGCCAAAGACTAGTCTACCAAAAAGTACGAGAAACAACTGCCAATAAGGCACAAGGGGTCCTTCTTCTTCTTCTTTTTTTTTAATTAAACCCAAGGTATCTCCACTATTTCGAGATGGGACTAATTTCTTTTAGTGAATTAAAGTAGTAAAAAAAATTTCACTAGTTCAAAAATGTGCCTCGAAGAAATTGAACTCCATGCTCTTTAGATACACGAGCCTGACTCTGGAACTCAGCACACTTCCAATTGACTCTGGGGTTCCTTTTTTTTTAGTAACAAAAGGGCCTTTTATGAAGAGCTCAACGGGGTGTTTTGTGTTCAGAAATCATGATTATTAAGAATATGTCAAAAAAAAAAATGAGTGCGTTGAAGAAAATTGCATGTGAGTTTGGGTTTATATATAGTTATACGCGGCTTCAATATGGGTCCATTGGAAATTTGGAAATGTTCAAATTCAAATGTCTTGGTTTTGGAAAATTCATGTTCTTGCTGATATGTATGGATTTGAGGACAAGACATGCATTTGGAAATTAAAATCCAAAATTCCTGAAACTCCAATCAGACTATTAATGAGCAAGTTACAAATTTTCAACTAAAACCGTAGCTTAGCAAAATAAGGTCACGTTCAAAGGTGGTTTGGGCCGTGATTGTAGCAATCTATTAATTTTAGTTGTCTAGGTGTCAGAAATTTCTTGCCTTCCTTATGGAAATTAAAGCCATGCATTGAGTGATCGGTACATTTGATATAGCGAAAATATTTTTGGTATTCAGTGAATAGATACTATTTTTTCTGAAATGAAAAAAAAGAGAATATGGAAAAATATAACCATAAAAGTATGGATATATAGTATAAATGCGTTACTTTTTTTCTTTCTATATTTGATAAAAAATGTATTAAGTGATGGTATATCTGATGTATCGAAAATATTTTTCTGCTAATCAGCTCTCTCAAATTTCGTTATTATTTTATTGGATATTTGAAGGTTATGTCGGTAAATGTATCAACCTTAACCGTTGAAAAAGAAGAAGTGAAGAAAAATCAACCTAGACTATCGCGTCGTTAACAATCCACTACATGCCGAAATACACAAATGTCTATCGAATTAGAACCGACAGCCAAAGCAAGCTAGACTCAACACGTATGAAGTAATAGTCAAAAATAAAAAACATGTATTGAGTAATCTTTCTATGCATGATATAATTAATCTTATGAAGTAAATTTGAACCTCAAAAATTTTATATCTTTTAAAAATGACAGATCCCAATATATATTTATATATACACGCTAATTCATCCCTAAGATAAAGTTAACAAATGATTTTTTTCTCAAAGTGAAATCTAACACTGTTTGGCACGCGAGCCACTTGTGAGTGTTAATATCATTATACAGGACCAGTCTCTTTCATTAATTGTTTCAAAACCTGCAAAGAAAAGTCTTTGATCTGATAAGGGCCATTTTTAGTTGGGAAAAGTCACTCTTAATTACATACTTTTAAAAGATTTTTTTGAATATTTGAAGAATACTTTCATATACAAAAGCAAGTGTTTGAATTTTCGTAAAAAGTAATCGTATATAACGATTATAAATAACGAAGATTTTATTATTTATTTTAATTATTATTTTTATTATTCTCTGCTTAAGCCTTATAGAGGGAGTCTAGCTGGAGCTTTGAAAATAGACCCATTCAACAGCCTTTGGACGTGCTGAAATCAGGGATAGCGATTATTTTGTCATCTTTCGACAAAAAAATTATGAGACTATCATGTTAATAGTAAATTTTATCAAAATATTACGCGGCATAATTCGCTACACAGTGTAGCGAATTATGCCACGTCAGAACCAAAAATGTCACATGTCAAATTTTGAGAAATTCGCTACACTCAATTTGACATTCTCAAAATTTGACATGTGACATTTTTGGTTCTGTGCATTCTGACGTGACATATTTCGCTACACTGTGAGTGTAGTGAATTACTTGCATGCATAATTCGCTACGTAGCGAATTATGCCATTCTGATAAAATTTACTGTTAACGTAGGAGTCTGTTAATTTTTTTTTGTCCAACCATATCACTTTGATCACTGTCAAATCACGGATACTATCTGTTTGGTAATAAAGAACAGAAACAGTGGTTGGTTCGTTGGTCAAGTTCCTTGCCAGAGGATGCATCATGGGAGTTGGAAGAGGATCTGCAGCGTCATAATCCAGATTAGTTGGAGCACCCAGTTGGGTTGTAGACTACATTCAGTAGTAGTCAAACGTCCTCAGCTGAGATATAGTGGCCTGGGTATAGTGTCAAAAGGGGTACGTGTAATAGTCTGTTAGTTTGTCAGGGACACATGTATTATAACATGAAAGTCTATGACAGGTGTACGTATAAATAGCTGAGATGTAGCTTTGTAAAGATATCTGAATAATAAAACAAATTCTTTCGTCTTTTCTTGACTTTTAGAGCTCGAAGCTCTATCATTAACTCAATGAACACACACTGTCTTCGTGGTAGAATTACTGTATGTGTCATTAACTTGTTTCTTTTTTTATATCACCCTCTACAATTTTCCACATTATATGAAAGTATGAGTGGGTCCACTTGTAGTGGCTGAGCCAATTTTCTCCCATCATGGCCTATATAAACCGGTGCTCCCTTCTCCGTTTCTGCACACCAAAGAGTCTCTTTATCTTTTCATCTCTGATTACAACAAAAATGTCTCTCATAAAAACCTTGTCTGTCTTCTTCTTAATCGCTCTCTGTTTCATCCCTGCACACGCAGCAAGGTTTGGCATCACAAACCGATGCCGTTACACTGTTTGGGCTGCCGCCGTGCCTGGCGGTGGAAGGAAACTTAATTCTGGCGAGTCGTGGACCATCGATGTGCCTGCAGGTACCGCGAGGTCTCGCATTTGGGGCCGAACCGGCTGCAGCTTCGACGGTTCAGGCCGCGGTCGATGCCAGACCGGTGACTGTGACGGTCTCTTGAAGTGCCAAAAGTACGGTTCACCTCCCAACACACTCGCGGAATTCGCGCTCAACCAGAACAGCCCCGGGTACTACACCAATTTGGACTTTATTGATATCTCCCTGGTTGACGGATTCAATGTTCCCATGGATTTTAGTCCAACAACATCTAAGGGCTGCAAACGTGGAAGCATAACGTGCACTGCTGACATTAACGGACAGTGTCCCAAGGAGCTCAGGACTCAAGGGGGTTGTAACAACCCATGTACTGTGTACAAAACCGACCAGTATTGTTGCAATTCGGGTAAGTGTGGACCCACTCCTTTGTCCAAATTCTTTAAGGATAGGTGTCCCAATGCTTATAGTTACCCCCAGGATGATCCAACAAGCTTATTCACATGCCCTGGTGGAACCAACTATAGGGTTGTCTTTTGCCCTTGAACCCAACCAGCTTCTGATCAAGTCTCAACCATATCCACTAAATAAAGAAAATAATAAGGTCTGTGCACTTTGGGTGCCCATCTAGGGAATGCGGACTGCTGTTCTAAATTATGTGTCAGATTCCTATGAAAGCAATAAATTGCTCACGTATGATCATAACTATAGCTTTGTCTTTTCTATCTGTATTTTCAATGCTCCCAATCCAAGGCATATATCCTGCTATATTATAAAACCCGACCCGATCATTAATAGATTAACTCGATCGGGTTATTGGATTATTGGATCGATAGGTCATTTCATATTCAAATTTTTAAAAAATAATCATACAACTTAATAACAAAACAATGTTCTAAATTATGAAAGGTCATTACACAAATATCTATATACTTTATAAGTTTAAAAATTAAATAACACAAGTACAAAAATTAATTAATCGAAGATTGGAGATAAGAAGAAAAATATTGTACATGTAAAATGAGAAGTGAAGTTTTATTTCTTTTTTTTGTTAAGCGAAATTTTACTTCTTTATTTATAAATTACAGAGTACAAAATTAATTAATCTTTCATAATGGTCAATATATAAAATAATTTTTATTTAAATAATAGTAATGGAACTTGAAATATTCATATACGTTCAAGTTAGTCTTAATCATTCTCTCATTTTTGGGAATACTTTATCAAAGATTTTATACCTTTATGTTTTTGTAATATTTTAATTTTATAATAAATTATATTAAATTTTACATGTGATTTTACAGTTAGAAATATTTATTAGATTGCAATATATAAATTTTTAATTTTTAACTTGAGAAGACAAACTATATTTTTTTAATAAAAATAAAATTGTTTAATAAGAAAAAATGGCCGATCAAGAAATTATGAAAATATAAATACAATTCAAAAATTAATAATTTTTTTAAAGAAAAAACCTTTTTGATTCCCAATGCGATTCACATACACTCCATTAATTAATTAATCATTTTTTTTCAAAAAAAGAAATCCCTTCAACTTTCAACTTTTAGTATGGGTGTTCACGGTTTGGATTGGATCGATTTTGGAAGCATAAATTATCCGATCCAATTCTTTCGATTTGATCGTGTAATCATCCATTCGGTTTAGATTTTTTTTCATATACGATCCGATCCGATCTAATTTTTTCCGGTTTGGATTGGAATGATTTTTCATTTTTTGAAAAGTCTAAAATTTGTTTCATAATTATGGTGCAAATACATAGGGTTGGCAAAACGGGCCAACCCGGCTCGACCCGGCCCAATCCGCATTCAGCCCGAAAAAAATGGGTCGGGTCGGGTTGGCTCGAAAAAAAAAACGAGCCAGAAAATCCAACCCGGCTCGACCCGAGCCAGGTTAGGGTTGGCTCGCGGGTTGGCTCGATAATCAGCTCGCGGGTTGGCTCGTAAAAAAGCTCACGGGTTGGCTCAAAAAAAGCTCGCGAGTTAGCTCGAAATGATGTTAGTGGGTTGGCTCGCGGGTTGGTTAGCTCAAAATATTGGCTAGCGGGTTGGCTCAAAAAATTTAATTTTTGTGGTTTGTTTTCCTGTATAAAATTATTGTATTTTGCAGTCCAACTACAAGTAGAGTAGTTTACAAAATCCAAAAACATTAAATGAAACACAAACCACTCCACGAATCACAAGAGTCATTTATCATGATTTTTTGAATTACTCTAACTCACGATAACCATAAAACGTATGTAAAGCCAAAAAATAAAAAATAAAAGAAGTCCATCAGTGGAGAATCCATCAGTAAAGTCCATTGTAAAAAAAAAAAAAAAAAAAAAAAAAGATTAACCCGCGAGCTGGCTCGTTCAACCCGCGAGCTGGCTCGTTTGAGCTCGGGTTGGCTCGGGTCGGGCTAAATCGAGCTGGCAGCTCATTTTTGCCAACCCAACCCGGCTCGTTTTGTGCGGGTTACGAGCCAACCCGACGGGTTGGCTCCTTTTTGCCATCCCTACAAATACATATCTTTTGTATATATTGACTTTGTAAAGTTTAAATATAGAAGGATCAATAAAGGATAATATAGTTTTTTTTTGACAATGAGATATGAAGCTCTACACAGATGAAATTTTGCTGATGAGATGTGGCTAAGTTTTTTCTTAGGTTTAGTTGATGGGTTAATGGGTCATGAATTTAGAATTTTTTGGACTATGACTGATGAAAGACCCAAGTACGTAGAGGGGAATTAATATATTGGGTCGATTTGGATTGGATCTATTTTCATAAACCAAACTAAAATCCAATCCAATCCAATTAAAATATACAGGTTTTTTTTTCGATTTTCGGTTTTTTGATTTTCGTTTTATTCAGTTATTGATTTTTTTGATTCAGTCACCGCGATTTGAATCGATTTTAGATTGGTTGATGAACACCGCTAACTTTTAGTATTCAATTTGGGGATGTGGATGACACGAGCTGTCAAACTCGCACGAATTAATTAAATCAGGTTTATTAGAATTTTGTAGTAAAGCGTCAATCTGAGTCGTCTCTCAAGGAGTTTGCAATGAACTTAATCGCTCAGTTATAAAAAAAAATGGAAACCAAATGAAATTGGAAACTAAATGAAAAGAGAAAATAAGGAGAAACGGAAATTAAAGAAAAACGGAAACTAAAATGGGTTTTTTAATATGATTGTAAATTTAAACGGAAATGAAAAATAAAATAAAAAGAAAGAATAATCAAATTAAAAGCAACCAACCCAAGAATTAGGATTCCAAGGATATCCATCATTGGACAAATTATTACCAAATCGTGATTGATCTCAATTGAATCAGAATCCTTATTTCCAATTGAGAACCTTCTCTAAGCGATCGCTTAACGTTTGGTCGAATACGACGCGTCTACTCGCGCAATCGCGGAGTATCAACCCGTTCGACTTAGTTCATTGGGTTAATCAACCTAACCATTAAATCTAATGGTTAATCTCTTTCCTAAGAACACAATCGCGTATCTCAGACTGAACACCCACAATCGCGCGATGCCAAACCAAGTTGGAAAGAGAAACGAATTTGGTTCAAAATAAGGCGCGGGTCCTCAAGATTCAACCATGGAATCCTCAACCCTTGGGTTGATTAAAGAAAACAAGAGAGAGAAAAGACAAAAATTCTATTAATTTCAAAACTGTAAAATTCAAATTCAAACGAAAGATAATCCACAAGGTCCCTACTCTCGCCCTTTTAACCCCTAATCAAGCTGGGCTTCGGGCTCTACAAATTCAACCTGAAATAAAAGGAAACAAAACAGAAATAATGGCTCTGGGCCTGATGTAGATTGGGTTCAAAGTCCAATCGTCAAAATAAATTTTCAGCAAAACACGTCCATCTTGGGCTCAAGTTTCGACCATCTTTCTGTCCGAATTAGACTTCAGTAGCTGAAATAGCAATTGTAGCCCGTGTTGTTAGCTGCAAAACACAACAAAAACGGAGTTAATTGGACATCTGTAGAGTGAGCTATAGCCAAAATACGAAAGTAGTGTAAATCTAGAAAATTATGACAAAAATCAATTAAACTCAATTAAAATCTAGAATTCTAATTTGACCCAAAAGACCTTTATTTAATTCAAATAAAACCTATAAATACCAACCAAGAGTAATAAATAAGTGTAACAAAATATGTGTTATCAGTGACTAAATTGAAATCCCTGGAAATGAACCTCGTTATCTTCTTATATGCAATAACCCTTATTTTACTATTATTATTTTTCTTCTTCTTCGTCTACGAGGGTGTGGTGGGTATCATGACTCAGAAAAGGCACAGGATGAAACTTGAAGAGAAAGTTTGGAGTGAGAAAAAAAATACTACCATGAAAAAGGCTATACGTGAGAACATCAAGATCTTGAAGGAAGAAGACGAAACATAGTAGAAATTTGGATAAATTTTATACTGGCTAGATTTCTTTGAAATGGCGAGTCATCGGTTTTAACGATATTCGGTCGGTTCAACCGATTCACATCGGTTCATACTGGTTCGTTAACGTATCTGGTCTAATATATTACCTGGACCGGTCACACGATCGGCTTATCGATTTTCTGTCTAAATCAGTCTGGTCCGATTTTTTTTTTTTTTTTTTGATAACAAGTCTGGTCCGATTTTTATATAACACTATTTTGCATGTCTAATTTTAATCTTTCTAGGCAAAAAATTAAAATATTATTGTTTTAATAAATTATTACGAATATATAGCTATTTTGAAACTATTTACGGATCTATATCACACCTAATTTAGGCATGACTCATTTGGTATTGACATGTGGCACAAAACAGTCAACTTACGAATCGTAAAATTTTGGAAGGCCATAACTTTTGACTTAGGTATTCGAATCAAGTAATTTTTTTATTCCACATAACTTTTCGAGATCTACACAATGACACCTCATTTGCATATTTTATCTCTCACAAACACAATTCGAATTTGCAACAATGGTATTATAAGAGCTTTTAAACCCAGAAGTATTTGAGTTCTTTTTGAATCAACACCAAACACAGTCTTCTTTTTAAAAATCTTGAAATTGTGATAAAATAGTACTAAAAACAAACATCTAACTTTGTTTCATAGGTAGTGCATGAAGAATGACCCAATTCTATCCTGCAAGCTCCGCCACATCCATTGAAGAGAGATAGGAGCTCGCAGATACAGTGAAATAGTGTGTGTTTTCTTTATCTTTGTTGAGAACTACAATGGAAGTGCAAGAGAGTAGGATCGGGATGTAGTTTTTTAAAAATAAAATAATATAACGTGGTCTCTTTCCCGTGATCCCTTTTTAAAACAAAAATTAATAGGTGATTTACTTGGCTTGGAAGTCTGAATTAGGTGTGTGTTTTTTCTACATAACTTTTCGATATCTACTCACTGATAATTTTCAAAGAATTATTTGTTAAAGTTGGGAAGTAAAAAATTAAATAACAATATTCATAATATTATACATTTTTTTTTTCAAATATTTGGTAGAAAATATATATTTTAATATGCCATTAAGTATCCTTATTTATAGATAGACTAATCCATTTTGGTGCCAATCTCTTTTTAATATGAAGATGAAAGTTTGAACTTTTCTTTCTTAAATTATTTATATTTTGACTATGTGAAACCGTATTATAACCAAAAAATAACTGGAGATTTTTAATTTTTTTATATACATAACTAGGGATTATTAGTGAACGTTGATATTCAGCTAAAAACACAAATTAAAGTGCCAGATAAACGTCGAATCAATATATAATTTTTTTAAATGAAAAAAAATTTAATTCAATTTATAAATTAAAAAATATACAATATTTACAATGACTGGTAAAAAAACCAATGGAAGTGTTTCGATGGGAAAATTAATATCAGCAAGGCTTGAGGATATTGTTGTTTATGGTCAACTTTCATTTACCGATAAATGGAAGAATTTAAAGCGAAAGCGAATTTGTTTGCTCACTTTAGCTTTTAGGGACGTTTAATAGAAGAGATATTTTTTTATGTCTTTGAATCATGATTATCAGGAATATATTGAGAAAATGAATTTTCTAATAATGTAAGGAAAAAATTGTTTGATACGGCAAAATATTACCAGAAATATTGAGAGAGTGAATTATCCCAATAACATTGCTGACGTTGGTGGCGCCATCATTGGCGCGGAAAGAAGAAAACAACAAAATGTACTTTGTGCTAGCTTCCCCACCACTGCACCGGCCACTAGCGTGGGAAGAAGCCAGCAATATAGACTTGGCGCTAGTGGCACCATCACTTTGCTACTAGTGTGGAGGTAAAAAATACTGGGAATCTAATAATATACCCCCCCCCCCCCCCCCCCGGTGTGTTATTCTTGGATGGTGTTATAATGGCTTATAAATTGTTCAAAAATCAGAATACTATGAAAATTAGTTTTTCAGAAAAAATTTCACAATCCTTATACTAAATATGAGTAAATAAGATTACCAATCTCAATTTTTTTAGAATACAAAAATTTTTCTTCTACCAAACGTTTTTTTTTTAATTGGTTGTCTACGTTATTGATAAAAAAAAACTGAAGCTCCCAGAAGTCCAGTCTACCATTATTGATGAGAAAAAAACTGAGGCCACAAAGTGTTGTCTACCAAAAGTCTATTAATTAATGAATGCACGCACTTCACCAATCGACATTAATTACATGAATTGATGCTCGTTTGTAGTTCGGTTACCACCTTAAAGACGCTGTATTTGGCAGCTTGAATCTTTTGTGAAAGACTTTAGTAGCCTTTAACTTATTTTAGCTTGTCATAGTGTCGTGTAACCTTACACCATAATTAGCCTTGCAAAGCATAAGAGAAACAACTGCCAATATATAGGGCACAAATGGCACCCTTTATAGGGTTGCTAGAAGAGCTTAAAATTTTTTGTAAGACCACCTAATCAAAGGGCAGTAATGGTTGTATATTCAATAATATCCTCATTGTACAGTTGTTTTGACAATGAGTTTGCTTTTTCAACCGTCAATTTAAATAACTTATAGCGCAAAACGATGTCGTTTTGAAATAAAAATCAAGGTATTTTTGTAATTATAATAGTCTTTTTCATTTTAACTTTTTAACTTTTCATCCCAAAACGATGTCGTTTTAGGAGCAAAGATATATAACTTATATACATTCATTATAGAAACATTGAAATCTTTGAAAATTGAAAAAAAAAAAAAGTTTTTTTCATAGAAATTAAGAAATCGTTCATTGACCTCCTTCATAGTGTTAGGAAAATCGAATCACATCGGTCGGTCTGACTGGGACGATCAACCGATTCAGAGTCATTCGATCACTTCTGCATGTAAACTGATATGAAACAGCCAAACCGCCTATATATACTTGGATTTAACTAATACCGATTTTCTAGTTAAATTTGAATTTGATTTAAAATATTTACATAGGGATCAAACCTAGGACCTATTGCTTGGAGCATGTCATGTTTGTCATTAAAAACCAATGTCATTTGCTGGTCATAATTTTTCTATTATAATATTTATTATATACTTTTATATTAGTTCAGTTTTTGTAATTCGGTCAATGATCACTAATTGAACCATTGACTCAATACTGTGTTCTATAACTAATTGAGTAGTATTCATGTAGAGAGAAAATGAAATATTAGGGCTAATTATTTGGTTAAGTGTGTATCAAGTGAACTTCGAGAGTGAGCATCATATATATTTTTTCTTTTGGGTGGAAGGACGTGTACGTCATCTTCATTCTTAGTTAATAAGTATTTATTTTCCGGTAATCTTAATCATATTTATTAGAGATATATAAAATCATTAATATACTTTCATCCAACAAATTAATTAAGCTTTTGGGTGGAATTGATTCTTGCCTTGTGTCACGGATTCATTTAATGTTCCTATCGTCTCTTGTTATTCTACATGGTATCTAAGGTCTAACGAGAGGAATCATGATCTTTTTTTTTTGAACCCACTGTTCATCGTCTTTTCCAATTTTTTAGATTCTGTCTCCTTGTCCGTTTCGAAAGATCTCTTTTGTTCTTGGATCATTTGTGCATCGTTGTCGAACCATTTTTTTTCGCGAACCACCAATCATACTGATAACCGTTGTTGGAAGCTCCATGGCAAGCCACCTCAGCCTCCTCGGACTACACGTGTTACTCAAGCTCCTTCACATGATCCAGGGTTGCCTTCTGCACCATAACCTCCTGCCTTTCTTCTTAACGAATTTAAGACTTTGTGGTCTAGGAAGCAAGCATCTGGTACTACTACCGTCATTGCTTCATCTGGTAATTCTTTTGTTATGATCTCTCAGTTACATTCTCTATGTCTTTGAACTCTTGATTCTGGGACTTCTAATTACATTTATGGTAATAAGTCTCTATTCACCTTTTTTTGTAGTACGACCAATGGGTCTTCGGTCCAATCCTGTGGGATCGTGTCATGGGTTTGATTCTTGCCATCCCTAATTTTTTGTGTAGAATTTTTCAGCACAAGTAGGCTTAGCCTGATGCAACATCCACCTTTCAAGCCGGGCTCTCTTGTGAGTGGACGTGTTAGAGATATATAAAAATATTACTATATCATCAACAATAAGTTAAGTTTTTGGGTTGAATTCGTTTTTTACATGATATAAGAGTCCGATGTCACGGATTCATTCAATGTTTCTTTCGTCTCTTTTTATTCTACAATATTTAAATAATTTTTTTGTCATAAAAAGAATACCGGGGAGGAAAGGTCCTATTTTTTTATTCATAAGATGAGGAGAGGCCACGAGCTTCAACCTATAGCACACAAGTCAAACCCAAGGCCTTTGCATCGATGCTATTCAATGAGCCAATTGGTTATAGTCTCATTTATAAAAGAAACTTTGATCATGCACATATGAGTTAGCCCCTCTTACCTGACTGCAAATCATGAATATAGTTAAAACTTCAAGTTAAGAAAATCTAGTTTACCTTTCGAAATCACGAATCAGAAATATTTAGCCTTAATATTTTACTGTTAACCGTAATTTATTCTATGGCAAATTAAAAAGTACATCCCAGAATTGTACATGTACTGACATAGCCCATGAGATGAAGCCCTTTTATTGGGTTATAGGTACACGCATACGAAAAGTATAACGGTTATACCAAAGAAGGAAACAAACAATTGTTCAAGGGCAAAACACAACTTTGTAGTTGGTTCCACCAGGGCATGTAAACGTGCTTGTTGCATCATCCTTAGGGTAACTATAAGCATCTGGGCACCTATCCTTGAAAAATTTGGAATAATCAGTGGGTCCACAGCTACCAGAGTTGCAACAATACTGATCCGTTTTGAAAACGGTGCAAGGGTTGTTGCAACCGCCATCGGTTTTGAGAGCGCTTGGACACTGTCCGTTGATATCAGCGGTGCAGCTAATGGCGCGTGTGCACCCATTAGATGTTGGGCTGAACTCCATAGGAACATTAAACCCATCCACGAGTGAGATATCGAAGAAGTCCAGGTTGTTGTATTGGTTAAGAGCAAATTCAGCAAGTGTGTTTGGTGGTGTACCATATGCTGTGCACTGAAGAACACCACCACAGTCACCTGTTTGGCAGTGTCCATGTCCTGACCCGTCGAAGTTGCAGTTGGTTCGAGCCCATATGCGTGCTCCGGCCGTGCCGGCTGCCACGTCAATCCCCCATGTCTCGCCGGAGTTGAGCTGTCTGCCTCCGCCGGGCACGGCTGCTGCCCATACCGTGTAGGAGCATTTGTTTGTTATGTCAAACCTCGCTGACTCCGCGGAGGCGAGGTAAGTGATGGTGATCATAAGGAAGATAGAGAGGCTTTTGAATTCCAAGATGGCCATTTTCAATTGAGTGTGTTGAGGAAAATTGCATGCGAGTTTGGGTTTATATATAGTTATACGCGGCTTCAACATGGGTCCCTTGTAAATGTTCAAATTCAAAAGTCTTGGTTTGGGAAAATTCATGTTCTCATGATGTCATGTTCTTGCTGATATGTATGGATTTGAGGACAAGACATGTATTTGGAAATTAAAATACCGAAATTCCTGAAACTCCAAATGAGACGGCTTTTTGACCCTTATAATCTTTTATTAATAATTAATTATCAAATTGACTTTCATTATAAACTATTTCAAAAATTTAACGCCCTCAAAAAACATAACATCAATCTGTCCCTGTTTGACGGTTGACCAGCAAGCCTATCCGGGTACACCCCTCTCTACCCGGATATTTTTTAGAATTTTTTGACTACCCGGGTAAGGAGGGGTGTACCCGGGTATTGTTCTTGGCACTTGAAAAATTGTTTGAATTATTTACCCGGGTAAGTAAGGATGTACCGGGTAAATCTCCACTCATAAGTAGTCCACACCCACTCGCTTCCCACTAGCATCTCGTTCCCAAGTTTCCTTCTTTTTTCCATCTCTGTGTTGTTCGTTAATTCTCTTATTCTTTTCGGTGTCAAAAAAAGAAAAAGAAAAGGAATGGCTTTGTTCAGTAGCGTGCTATGCATTGCGTCGCTTATCTTCCTGATGTGGATGGTTGAGGCTCGAATTTCAGAGGTTTACAGTGGAGATTTACCCGGGTACATCCTTACCCACCCGGGTAAATAATTCAAACAATTTTTCAGGTGCCAAGAACGATACCCGGGTATACCCCTCTCTACCCGGGTAGGTAAAAAATTTCAAAAAATACCCAGGTAGGGAAGGGTGTACCCGGGTAGGCTTGCTGGTCAACAGTCAAACAGGGGCAGATTGGTGTTATATTTTTTGAAGAGGTTAAATTTTTGAAATAATTTATAATAAAAATTAATTAGATAATTAATTATTAGTAAAGGGTTATAAAGGTCAAACAGCCCGAGGAGACTCTAACGTGCAAGTTAAAAAATTTCGACCTAAAACCGTAGCTTAGCGAAATAAGGTAACGTTCAAAGGTGGTTTGGGCCGTGATTGTAGCAATCTATTAATTTTATAGTTGGCTAGGTGTCAGAAATTTGTTGCTTTCCTTCTGGAAAAAGCCTCTCCTAATCACCTTTCTCAAAGTTCGTTATTATTTTATTGGATATTTGAAGGTGATGTTGGTAAATGTATCAACCTTAACCGCTGAAAAAGAAGAATTAAGTGAAGAAAAATCAACCTAGATTATCGCGTCGTTAACAATGCACTACATGCTGAAATACACAAATGTCTGTAGAATTAGAACCGACAACAAAAGCAAGCATGCTTCAACACATATGAAGTAATGGTCAAAAAACAACAACATGTACTTAGTAATCTTACGTAAAATTGAGTCTCTACAAAGCGTGAACAAAAGAAAATAATACCTTAAGACAAAAAAAATGGTATAGTGTTTATCTTCAAAGTATTCAATTTATTATTATTTTAATTTACTAACACTAAATTAATAATCCGATCTACTCTTCACCGATAGTTAATAAAAATTTTGTAAGTTAGTCAATGGATTAATCTCAACGGCAACTAAGCGGTGCTGCCTGTAAATTAAATCAAGCAATTGACTCGTATTAAATGTTTCAAAATGTTAATATTAATTAAATACTGTTACCTATTTCGTTTTCATTCTTAAAAGGATTCATTGCTGTCGACGCGGTTATAAACAAAAAAAAAATGTAATCAAATTTCAATTTGGATAAAGTAGAAGTTTGAAAAACGAATAGGGGATAAACTGAATTACAATAATGTTAGATAAATATAATATAAAATTATAAATGTAATATTTATTTAATAATTTAAGTTTCTGGATGAATTGTTTGTATAAATTTTTTTATGATGCATTACTATTAATAAATAATTAAATATTATCGAATTTTTTTATATATGTAGGTAGACTTATGTATTTTTCATTTTTCATACCGAATGTCTTTTATATGAATGGATATATTTAAAAAATATAATAAAAAATTATTAATACAATTTTACCATAACAACTGTTAGATTAAATTAATTTTTTACTCTTTTTAACTTCATTGAAATTCTTTCATCCTACTCTTCTAGAATTGGTGAGTGCTGCCTGGAAGTTTCATTCATTGTCCTGTAAACTAGAATTTAAAGAAGTCTAAATTATTTATGTCCATTTAGTAGGGAAGGCCAAGGGAACCGAAACAAATCATCTAATTTATCAACGCTAGGGCCTAGTGAGTTTGGGCCTTATACAATGAGGCCCGTAATAAAGAACAGAGGTTATTGCTGAAGTTTTCTTTTTAATCGCCGGCAAAGTTAGTGCTCTAATGCTGTTATCGCATTCTTTATTAGAATATGCAACGAGTTTAGTTTCCACTTTCAGATACCCGCACAAAAATAAATAAATAAATAGAAGAGTAAAATTCCTATTAGATCTCTAACAAAAATCAAGGCCCCCACTTTCGTTCCTTACAAAAAAATATCCATATTAGTCTTTTTTGGGGGACTACATTGGGTCTTCATTGAATTTCTGAGAGACCTTATTTTCAAAGAACTGGAATTGTAGAGGAACCAAAAGTTGCCTTTTTTTTGTAAAGGACGAAAGTGGGGGACCGAATTTTTTGTTAGGGACCCAAAAGGAATTTACTTTAAATAGAATTTGCATCGCTCAAGCTTAAAAAAAAAAAAAAAAAATGACAATTAAATTACTTACACATCCAACTTGAATTCTATGAAACACTAAGGGGGTGTCTGGTAGGGGCTTTTGGTTTCTTTCCCTAGGCAACTTGAAATGGATTTTGAATTTAACTGTGTTTGATAGAAGAGTTAAGAAAATTTAGGTAGGAGAATCCTTTGCCCATACAAGCCGTTTTGTTTGTAAAAATTTCTTTGAAAACACTGTTTCAGAAATCCATATTGATGGTGGTATTTTGGGTTTGGTGGGAAAAGAAAAAATTGAACGCAAGGATGCGGACCAAATTGTCCCTATTGTTCCAGAAACACTGTTCTTCTTTTTTTCCTTTTTCTTTTTGGTAATCTAAAGGGGTTAACAACTATACCCCAAAGAGATCAATTCAATAAAATCGTTCTGAAATTACAAGACAAAGACAAATCAGCCAAATACAAAGGCCAAATACCAGGGGGAGGGTTTGAAAAAACACGAAAATTATTTAAAAAGTCAATCTGCACAACTATTTCCTTCTCTAAAAACATGAACTAGGTGAACTTCCCAATTCTTTTGTAACCATGCTCGAATCCGAGTCACTAAGTGATACTCTCGAGCTGCTCTTCCACTACTGGAGAGCAAAATGATAACTGAGCTTGAATCACTTTCTAGGAAGCAGCGTCTCCAACCTCTAGTCCAAGCAAATGCAAGACCTTTGAGGACGCCCCGTAATTCTGCAACAAAAGCTGAACAATGGCCAATATAGTAAGCTAACCCATCTATCCAATAACCATTTTCATCTCTTATAATTCCTCCACAAGCAGCACCCCTACCATCACTCCTGGCTGCACCATCCGTGTTTAATTTCACCCAACCTGTGTCCGGAGGTAACCATCTAATAGGAACAGAAATGTAATTCTTGGTCAACTTTGTCCCCTTAGAAGTCATCCAGGCTTATGTACACTCACGAACCAGACTCTCTATGGACTGCACCTTGTATGCTTTCCCGTTATTTTCAACACCATGCACCTGATTGTTTCTCCACTGCCAAGCTAACCAAACAGTAACAGCAAAAACTAACAACCAGGGGGCATCAAAGCACAAAATAGATACATTTTGAATATTCAAGGAAAGCCAAGAATCCAAATCAGTATCAAATAAATTATTTATCAAATTTGGCCTCAAAAGATCAGACCAAACTTTTTTAATCTTTCGACAGTCACGTGCCAATGAATAATGGATTCCTCATGAAAATTACAAATAGGACAACTAGGAGGACACAATCTAAAGTTTGTTAGGAAGCTCCTAGTTGATAGACGATGATGAGACGTCTTCCAAAGGAACAAACTTATCCGGTTGAGCCCTTTTAAATTCCAAATGGTTGACCAGAATTTTATGTCAATACCATTAGAACTATTTTGATTTAGCAATGTAAAATAAATATTTTTCACAAAAACTTCATCTGATCCAACTAAATTCCACCATTTTCTGTCCATACCATTAGATTCATGAGGAGGCATCATGCTTCTAATAATTTGAACACAATCATCAGGAAGAAAATTAGATATAATCTCACAATCCCAAGATCCATCATGAGTAACATAATCAATTACTCTCTTACCAGCCTCTATTGGGGAAATTTGAGCAATAGCTCTGTTTGCAAGTTTTTTCCCAATGTTCACCCAATGGTCCTCCCAAAAAAGAACAGAAGATCCATCACCCACATCCCAAACGAGCTTGGGTTTAAGCTTATTCCAAACATCACACATAAATTTCCAAAGACGAGAATTTCCATTCTTCCAAGTTAAATCAGTCTGAGTATTTGATGAATTTGTGTACTTAGCTTTTAATACCTTCACCCAAAGCTGATCAGGATAATTAACAAAATTCCAAACTAGTTTTCCCAAGAAAGCTTCATTCATGACTTGTAATTTCCTCAACCCCAGCCCTCCATCTGCTTTTGGTCTTGTAATTGTGTCCCAACCAATAACATGCATATGTTTCTTCCTTTCTGTATCACCCCATATAAAGGCTCTTTGAAGCTGTTCCAATTCATTACAGACAGCTTTAGGAATCATATTGCTTTGCATGAAGTAATACGGCATAATAGAAACCACAGATTGAGAAAGAATCACTCTGCCCGCCTGAGAGAGAGACTAGGATTGCAAGCTAGATAATCTTTCTTTAACTCTCTCAACTATACCAGCAAATAAATTTTTAGTAACTTTACCATGATGTATCATTGCTCCAAGATATCTTCCTA